GCTAGATGGACCTTTGGTCTGACCCAGTACGGCCATTCTTATGTTCTCACTGACCTGAAGTCAGCTTAACTCAGACACTCTTGCCATGGTAAATAAAATGCCAACACTACTACTGATTCCATTCCATATATAAGAAAGGAGAAGGGAAGGGCCACAATTCTGCACAATTTACTGAGTGATATTTCATTTTGATGCCTCCAAATGGGGGGGTGTTTGAGAAATGCTACCACTCATTATTTATCCCCAGGCTACGTCTACACTGGCATGATTTTCTGGAAATGCTTTTAACAGAAAAGTTTTCCGTTAAAAGCATTTTTGGAAAAGCGCGTCTAGATTGGCAGGACGCTTTTCCAGAAAAGCACTTTTTCCGTAAAAGCGTCCGTGGCCAATCTAGATGCGCTTTTCCACAAAAAAGCCCCGATCGTCATTTTCGCGATCGGGGCTTTTTTGCGGAAAACACTACTGTGCTGTCTACACTGGCCCTTTTCTGGAACAGTTTTCCGGAAAAAGACTTTTGCCCGAATGGGAGCAGCATAGTTTTTCCGGAAAAGCACTGATGATTTTACATTAGATCGTCAGTGCTTTTCCGGAAATTCAAGTGGCCAGTCTAGACAGCCATCAAGTTTTTCCGGAAAAGCGGCTGATTTTTCCGGAATAACTTGCTAATGTAGACACAGCCCCAGTGCAAAAGGAGCCATTCACCAGAAGCCTAGACAAGCTCATGGATATATTCAAAGCCCAAAGAGGGACTCAGAGTCCCGCAGAGCTCAGTGATCACACACAAACATATTTTGAAAAGGATAAATTTTGTGTGTGGAGTTCACCATTCATCCACTCCTTTATCCCCTACCCCCAATTCAACCCCTGAGCAGGACACAGCTTGCTTTCCACAAGCTAATGTGTCACTTTAAATAAGAGGTTTTTTCAGATATTCAGCTCAAGCTTTTTCTTCCTTTCATACTATTACACCTAGTAACCATCTAAAATACAGAGAGATGCACAGAAAAGGGGAATAGGAATGGAGGAGACATACTGCACAAGTAAAAAAAGAAATAATGGAGATATAGATTAAATGAAATAAAAACAGGGAGAAACAGGATTTGGGAAACGTCAGTGGGTAACCAGAGCAAGCAGACATAATTGTCAGCAGCAAGACTCTTGAGGAACAAAAAAACAAAAATCAGTGTGTGTGTGTGTGTGAAAATGTATTCATGTGTGAAAGGTTATTCACTATTGTTATATTTATTTTTTACATAATGACAAATGCGTGTGGCATCTTACAGAGATAATAAAAAGCATAGCCTCTGCTCAAAAGAGAGCTGTACAGATAGCAGTATGGTAAACTTAAAACCAGACACTGAGCCATTAACTGTTCTTTGCTACAGTTCCAGCATATTTGTTATTACAGAAGCAGCTTCCATGTGCCCAGAAAAGCCACTCTTGTCAGAAGTCCACAAGCAGGCCTGCTGACAGAAGGGGGGGGCAAAAGGGGCAGTTTTCCCATAACTTCACAATTCAAAAGGGCCCAGGGCTCCCAGCCCCTTTAAATCAAAGCTGGAGTGCCATAGAGTATGCTCTGGACCTTACTAAGGGCTGGCTCTAGGCAGCACTAAGGGCAGGCGGGGGGGAACAGCACACTCCGGGCAGTGCTGCAGGCCAGCTGTCCCCAGCCCCACCCCTTCTTCCTGAGGCCCACCCCTTCTGGGAGTACAGAGCTGCCAGCCCCCCATCTTGCCCAGGGGCCTGGCAATTCTTTCAGCTCTGCCTGGCTACAGGAAATAGCAGTATAGTGCAGTAGCTTAGTTAAACGAACTCAGAGAGAGATTTTAAAATATCTGCTGGCTATTTAAGATTATGGCTACTGGTTAAAAAAAAATCCAGGGAACAAGTAACTGTAAAAAAATCCCTGCCATTGCCTGGGTTCTTCATTTCAGTCAAAAATGTGTAGTGTTTTTTTTTAAGAACTGAGATATAGTGTGACCACATGTCTCTGTTAAGAGTGGGAAGATGATTGACATCTATTGCCTCTTGTTCTATACTCAGATTGTAAGCTCTTTGGGGCAAGGAACATCTCTTTGTTCTGTGTTTGTAAGTAGTAAGTAATACTAATAAATAATAAAAAAATTTGAAAAACACCTCTTGATTTGCTTTGCTAAAGAAAAATGTTACAGAAACTGCAAATAGAGTCTGACCCAGGAGAGACCATGTGGGCCAAATTCACCCCAGGATGCTTCCATTTAAATGGAGTTACCTCAGAGATATATTTGGCCCACTGCATGCCTTTGGGACTGCAAATAAGGAGACAGACTCTAGGATTTAGGGATCCAACACTGAGAAAACAGAGGCAGAGAGTGACTTGGAAATAGGTAACACATTATGGGAATGGAGCACACTGGGAGCTTGAGAAAGTCAATAAGGAACAGAGTATATCAGGGGCTATGAGCAGGGAATGGGTCAGGGGATAAGAAGGCACTGATGTCCGAGAACTCAGGTCAGACAGAGAGACACTGGAGGGGTAGGACAAAGACCAGAGAAAAGAATAGTTAAGGTAATCAAGGGAGAGATGAGAAGCAGCCAATAGTTCCTCCCTGGAATTTGATATTGTATACTGGACTCTATCCCTCAGCCTTTGGACCTGAAAGGCTGACAGTACCTTTAGCAGCCCCAATTCCCCACTCTCTTCATGCTGGAATGGGAGAGGTGGTGCAGCACCAGCTCTTGATCACACTGGGGCTTTTAGCTAACAGTTTTAAACAAGCCTGCCTTTGTCCGTGCTCCAGGGTTACATTCTGTTTGGGATGGTGTTAGTTAACATGGATTAGTTAACAAGTTTCCTGACACAGGCTAGACACTTCCCTAGCATGGGCATGCTGCACCAGAGTAAGCTATGTCATTTACCATGACAGTAAATGTTGTCAGCATAAACATACACTGGTGCTGTGCTCCAGCTCCTACTGCTGGCAGAAGTTCCCAGCAGAGCCAGGCCTTAGTCCGCTGGTATGTGAGTTTCAGAGAAGCACCTTTTTCTCCTAGGACACACTCAGGTGGGCATGGAGTAGGTAGGGGGGCTTAACCCTGAAGGGGAAAAAGGGAGTACACAGCAGTTCAACCCTCTGCATGGCAGAGGAAGAGACTAAGGGGCCTGACCCTCCCCGAGAGTGAGAGGAAAGGGTAAGGTCTGAACCCCGCAAAGCAGGGGTAGGAAGAGGAGAGGATGGGGAGCTGAGCCCCTCAGAGCGGGGGAGGAAGGGACGGGGGTGCGGGAGAAAGGAAGAGGAGTGAGGCCTCAGCCTCCTAGAGCAGGTGGATGGGGGAGGAGAAGGTGAAGGCTGAGAGGAGTAGAGACAGTGGGAGCTGAGCCCGCAGAGCACAGGGAGAGGGGAAGGAGGGGACTCAGCCATCAGAGCTCGGGGAGAGGGGACTGAGGGGGGGGATGAGCCCACAGAACACCGGGGTGGAAGCGGAGCTGCCCCGAGCCAGGACGGCCGGCTCTTTCCCGCTGCCCCGGAGCGCCGGGCGGGCAGTGGGACGGTCCCGCTGGCACCTCAGAAAGAGGCTCAAAGCGGAGGAGGCGCCGGACGCGGGAAAACGCGCCCAACATGAGCGAGGCCAGGCGGGACTCGCCTTCCATCCCCTCCCCCCAGCGCGGCCTGTCCGGGCGGGACGCGGGACTTAGCGGAGGGCGAGCGGCTCTCACCTCCGCTCTCCCTGCTCCCTACGAGACCCAGCAAAACAGCAGCGCCCCTACCGGCTGCGCCGGGGGCTTAGGCTCCGAGCAGCGGGGGGCCGGGTGAGGACTGGCCTGCCAGTGAAGGTGTGGGGGAGGAGGGTCTGAGAGGAGGGGTCCCGGCAGTGGGCGCGGGGCTTGAATCTGGGCCACCCCGCCGGTGACAGGGACTGAGCTCCCCCTCCCAGTGGCAGCAGTGGGGGCTCCCATCAGCGTAGTTCGCCTTTGCTGTCTGCATCGAAGCAAGTGCGGAGCCAGCCCTCCCCTCCCCCCCCAAGTCTGGCTCACTCTAGGAAGCACAGGTGCTGGGACTAGGGGTGTTTAGAGATGCTGCAGCACCGCTGGCTTGTAGTGGTTTCCATCACGTACAGGGTTTACCGTTTGAGTCAATGGCTCTCAGCACCCCACTGTACACATTGTGGGTTTACCGTTTGAATCAATGGCTCTCAGCACCACCACTGTACACATTGTTCTAGCAGTCCTGCTACGAAGCCATCACCAGCTAAGTTTTAAAACCAGACCCCTTTTGGAAACAAAGTGACCTCTCCCTGCCCCAGTTAGCACACAGGACAGCGCCCTTATTAGGGGCAGAAACCAAGGTGACAGCCCCCTACCCCCACCCCATGTTGTGGTCTTGAGATTGTTCCCATCCCAGCCTCCCAAGGCCGCTTGGAGGTTAGGGCGGCAAGTCATTTTAGCCCCACACTAGCGTTAAAGTCCGTTTAAAGACGATCTTTAGGGAACTGCACGAAGCATTTGGAGCATCCAGTCTGGACGTTAGTCTCTTTGGGGGCAGTTGCAGAATGACTGGCGGTTTGGTTTCTCTGGTGCAGTGATTTATCTCTGTTAATGATTCTGGAGGCCTTTTAAACATCCTCTTTCTTTAACTAGGCACGAGTTACATTTTTGACGGCTTTTATTGACAAATCCTGCAAGCGCCTGCAACTTCTCCGGCTTTGCAGAGCTGAGCCCTGATAACGCAGCCATTCAGCAGATTGTTAGAACTGATAGGGATGTCAATGAAACGCTATTGGGACGTACAATGATCCTTTCCCGGGTGACGGGATCCAATAGGATTTTATTTATGTCCCAGTGTTTGTTTTCAGAGCTATCAGAAAAGAATCGTCTTCTGCAGTATAAAGTCCCTGTCTACGCTAGTGAATTGCCAATGTTCAAAGTCTAATAGCAGGAGACTATCTAATGCAATCTTTGGAAAAGAGATGACTTTTACAATATAAGGGTTGATTGCAAATAAGTTACTAATAAGCCACTGTGGTTTACGGATCGTCGTATACATTATTTCCCAGGCACTCTTTATTTGCAGCTATTTCTTTTTAAAAAAGTTGTTCATTCAGTTAAAAAAAATACAAGAGATATTCAAGCCATTAAGCAGTGAAGTTGTAAATACGGGCACTTCCATTTTATTTTACAATAGATAACACAAAAGCAGCAGTCATAAAAGCGAAAACAAGAACACTTCAGAAACGTGTGACAATACGTTCCCAGAGGGGGAAATTTATTCAATATAAGTTACTATTGCAGCTGACACAGCAGTAAAACAAAACGTGTAGGAAAGTAATAGGACAGAGCTGGAGATATGGGGGAGGGGAAGAGAGGAAGAATTATTTTGAAATACACTTCTAAAAGATATTTTGACTCCCAGATTTGTTATCAATGTGCATCCAACAGAACAATACAAAAAACCGACAACAAACCACATTCTGTACATAGCTCTAAAATGAGCTGCGAATATCTACAGGACACTAGCATATGCTCTTCGTGTGGGTAAGATTGGGGCCCGATCCTGCAGTTCACAACTACCTAAGGGAGTTTTGCTGGAGTATGATATGCAGGCTCGACCCCAGTGTGCGTGTATGTAGCTTTCTACAATTAAGTCCTTGAGCAAAATTAGCAACTTGGAGCTGCAGAGGCAGGTGCAGGTCCTTGGCTGCTCTAGAAGTCCTGCCGCGGGGTGTGAGTTAGACTGTGCCGCCGCAGATCACAGTTTCGCCTGAACACTTTGCCGCACTGCTCACAGTTGTAGGGCTTGATGTCTGTATGGGTAAGAAGGTGAGTTTTCAGATTACTTCTTTGATTAAATGTTCTTCCACATGTGGGGCATTTGTGTGGAGATTCCTGTTCAGATTTGAAGCAAGCAAAGGATTAATCCTTTACAAACTACCTAGTTTACTTATTATTTTTGTTATTAAATAACATAACATGAAGTATAGGGAATCTACTTAAATAAACCTAGACTCTTAATCCTCAGATACAAAATCACATCACTTTTAACTACTTGAAAATAACCTGCCTGTCCAAGTATATTTTAGTCTCAGCTCATCCCATGTCATGTCCCTGAAATCCACAGACAAAAACTTGCAGTACAATTCTTCAAAGTACCAGGCCATGGCTATGAGAAAGACTGAACTTTACTCCAGACACTCAAGCCCTTACAGACATATACAATATATTGGGGTACAACCAAATCGTTTCAGTGTGCTAATTAATATTTCATCGTTGGTTTTCCCCTACACTGCTTACCTTCATTTTTTACTAATATAAAATATTGAAATGCATTGAATAAAGTTTAACAAAGACCATTTATAAGTGTCCATATTCACAAATAATTTATGTAAATTAAATAATCAGTAGATTCTATTGCTTTTTTCTAAAAAGTACATATTTTAAATACACTAAATAAACATGTGTCTTAAGAAAAATAAAAGCAAAGGGCTATATCCTGCTATGAAGCAGATTGCTTTATTGAAGTAATTGGGGAAATATGCTTTAAAAATTAATGGCAAGCTATGGCTCATTATTTCAGGCAAGTAAACATAAATGTGTCTACCTTACATATTATTTAAGGTTTTGTGCAACATAAACAGGGAAAGAATAAGAACAGTATAAAGATAAGAAAGGATTTGGAACTAAACTTACCTGCATATGTAAAGTTTTATGAACTGCTAGAGTTCTGGATTGGCAGAATCCTTTCCCACATTCCTGACATTTGAAAGGTTTTTCTTTGGAATGGATATATCTGAAAGTCAATACAAGGGTTTGAAGCAATGGCTATCCACAGATACAAAAGCCACAAGAAGCCTCTAGGGATTCTTTAATCTATACTTTTTGGGGGGGTGGGAGGACGAATCCTGACTTTTTCTTACTATTTATTCATTATTTTATTTTTGCTCTGAAATTCTGTGTATGATTAACCTTCTTTATCAGTTGAAAACATTTACAATAATGCTTATCAACGCTAGATTGCCCTCTCTGGTGATAGATTAGACTGCATAATGGAAAAATCATCTGTTTCACCAACTGCTCTCCTTGAACTCAATGGGAAATTTCCCGTTAAACGTCAACGTGAGCAAAATCCGGTGTACATGCTATTTTATTTTATTTTTATTTTTGGTAGAAGTTCTACTCTACTAACCTAAAAAAGGGGGTGTGGGAAATGGCCCCTTACATTCAACTCTTAAAATCAGATTGTAAATACCGTTCTTGCTGTACTATTACAATCTTATCAGAGATGGGGAATGTTTGTTTCGGTTAATAGAATCGCCTCCAAATATAATCACAGGTCCAACCCACAAAAAATACATATTAGTATTTATTTGCTAATCCCCCCGTAGAGAAACAGCTGTAACAATGTATCACTTGGTTTGCTACTGCTTCCCTGGCTGAGAAAGCTGAAATGCTTCTACGTGGGAAGTGATGAATCCACCAAACCTTCATGACTAGTTTGAACCTCAGGGGAAAGTATAAGGAAAGTGGGCATATTTCTTAAATTCACTGCGACCCAAGATCGGTGGGGCCTTGAGTTTTCCTTGGCAGCAGATTGTCCACATGCAGCCAGCCTGGGATGAGGTTCTACTGCAGTGATCTGAATCTGGCTGACTCTGAGCCCACGGAACCTTTGTAGTAAATGACAGGAAGTATTTCTGATGTGAGGTCTAGAGAGAGAAACCGCTGCACCTTTTACTCAGGGTAGTAGGAGAAACCAGTTTGCCTGTGACTGCCTCCCTCACCTGTGGTCTCGGAGGTGGTCCTGTCTCCGGAAAGCCTTGTGGCAGATGTCACAGGTATAGGGCCGCTCGTCCGTGTGGGTTCTTTCGTGGATAAGCAGGTTGTAGGATTTGGTAAAGTGTCTGCCGCAGAACTTGCAGATAAACTCTTTTTTCGTTTTGGAAGGTAACCTGCCCCTGGAGGGCTTTCTGTCCGGAGACAGTTTGCTGATCCCTGAGATGGGATTTCCAAGTCCTGGACTTAGCTTGGCCAGATCTGCGATCTTTGGTGGGTCCTCCTGCGTGGCGGCCACAGCCAGATTGGCAAAATCAAACCTGGGTCTGTCTTTGTGTAACGCTGGGATGACATGGGCGATGGCCCCTTGCTTTGGATGAAAGAGGTGTGTGGCGAAAGGTAGCGTTGGGAAAGAAAATCTGGCATCCATCAGGCCCTGAGCTGCAGCCATCTCCGTGATGGTAGACCTGGTAATTTCATGCACATTGGGATACCCCAATGTCCAATGGTTCATATGCATGGTCTGCACCGCGCTGAGTCCATAGAGACCTTGCAGGTGGTCGACGGCTGCTGGGAAAGTGTTCACTGCCTGGAGAAAGGAGTAGTTAGTGAGCTGCAGTGAAGGGTGGAGCGGGATCGGTGCTGGAAGAGCCTTGCTTCCCATCTTCCACGACAGCGGTAAGCAGAACCCTTTTCCTTTCTTCGTGGCTTTATGAACTTCCAACGACAGAAAATCCTGTAAGAAACTGGCCGAGAGAAAGAGATAGTTTACTGAGTGCAGCCTGTTCCTTACTGACCGAGGCAATCGAAATATTCAAACAACAAGTGTTCCAGGCTCCGCGTTTGTTTTGTTTTTGCTCTAGCGCACCCGTGCAGATCCCAGAGAATAGGAAGAGAAACAATTAATTCCCTGTTTGGGGGAAGAAACCAACGCACAAAGCGTCTGGTTCAATTAATTCACAACAGCCGAAAAATAAACTCATCGTGAGAGTGTATCAGGAATGCAAAACGAGTATCGACTCCTAAAGTCATTTACGTATTGGTTTGTTTTCAATCAGTCACTCGCCCAAAATATCTCCAGAGACTGAATTCCCACCAAGAAGCCAAGTGGCTTTAGCCGCACATTGCACAGCACATTGTGACAGCAAAACGCCTTCATTCTGCATTCAGCGCTACCTTCCCCTCGCGCTTATCTCCAAAAGTCACTTCGAACCTCTTCAGACTTATTGATTCGCCCAAAGCTTTGAAGGAGCCGCTGAGGCAGACACATCACCTCTGAGGCCTTCTTGGGAGATCGAGGGAGGAGAATGTGCGCTAATTTACAGGGCTGCAGGCTAGAGGTGACAATGCAGCCTAGTTTATTCTAACTCGGGTGCTTATTTTTCTTCCTTCAACAACAACTCATTTATCAAGATAATTGAAGGAGAGAAAAACGACACGTTTCCAGCACTGCAGGTTCTAAATAAATCCACTTTGCTCTCAGATCCCTTCCAGATGGTCGGAGCACCGCCACACAAGAAGGCTTTGGGCGAACAACGCCATCTGCGGAGAGGAAAAGTGGCCAGGTCCGCAGGCCTCTTTAGACCTACGGACGTATTCACTTCTCTAGACCTCCAAATACAGAAATGCCCCCTTCCCTCTGGATCGGGCTGTTCCCGACTAGATTTCATGGCGATGTGTTTCTGCCATTGAAAACCTCCCGTGCTTAATGGCGCCCAGGGGAATAGACAGGAGAACTGCAAACTCGTTAATATATTAATTTCTCTAACTCCTATTTCTGTCAGGAGGGACACACACTGCGGTGCAAAACAGCCAGTGTTACTAGTCACTGACTGCAGTAAGGTTACAAGAGCCTTGGAAGCACGGGATGTTGCGGGGTTTCTGCCGCAGATTTCTCCTTGCCAGACCCAGATTCAGTGTCTGAGTTAGAATAATACTAACCCCTTTCAGAGAAAGCTCGGCGGACACTGCACTAGCGGCTTCCCCGGGTGTTATTGATTCCTCCTGGTTAGTATTGTGGCCTATTGCGGTATCCGAACGTCTCTGCTGTGTGGGTCTGTTCCTTATTAAGGAAGACATATTGGGCCGTCTTTCCAATGGGCTTTTGACCCACGATTTGTTGGCTACGACTCCGATCCCCACCCCCTCCCTTTAAACTGAGAACGGAAAATGCGATTTAGTTTTTTTCAAAAGCACCTGGACGCTGCAGCGCGCTGTCTCTCCTGCCTGCTGGGACTTCCACACACACGCAGGTCGGTGTGCCCCACCCGCGGGGCTGCCTCGGGAATTCGGCCTTTCTGAATGAAAACCCTGGGCTGTACTCTGCACTCTACAGGATCTGAGTGGCTGGCTGGCCCAGCTGACGGCCCCTCGTGCTGCTTGCCTGCTCGGCATCTCCCCCCAGACGCAGCCCATCCGCTCCTGTGTTTATTTGCTCTTCTTCATTTTTGATTAGTTGCCGGAGAGCGTGAATATGTGAGAGAGAGCCCTTGTGTTTCTCGGCTCCACCGTGGAAGGCGGCAGCAGCCCTGCGCATAGAGTTTTATTAATGAAATGAACCCCTTCTGAGCTGTGGTATGCACTCTGGGAGAGCAAGGGAGGGAGTTAATGAGAGGTGTGTGACAGTCAGAGGGTTTCACTCAGTCCATTCAACCGAAACTATAAACTCCATTTCTAATCAACTTTCCCACCGCTAATCGTGTTCCATGTGTAATCACGGAGCTCCCACTTCACACACCAGAGCCGCAGTGTCTGGGCTAAGCTAGAAATCACTGTGCGGAGCAAAGGCAACTTTGTGTCTTTTCTTTCTTTGTGTTAATTCGTTTTCTTTCTTGCTGTTATGGTTCTATTCCCATCAGTTTTTTTTTTTCAGATCAAGACAAGCCGTGTCGTTTTCCCTCACCAGTGATACAGAAATTATGTGTTGGATTGTCCGAAAACCATCGGTATGGGGCACCAAATATAACGGCCCCTGGATTTCTGGAGATGGAAATTGTGACGTGTAATTGTCAAAAGTCTGAAATACTCTGCCCTTAAAGATTAAATGCACATTCTCCATACATTAGTTAATGTGCCTTTCTTCACTGCTCATAGCCTCAATATTACTGGTTCCCGAATAAAACCAATCGACTACACAAAACAAGATACACTTCCCGAATATTTGAGTGCCCCTTGCTTGGTCTTCGAAGTGGAAACCTGTATTTTTCGGTTCTTTGCCAAAACACACTTCGGTCCTACAGAATTTAACTTTCAGCATGGCCTACTTAGAAATACATCTAAGCCATTTTATATTAATATAAGGATCAACCATCCACGTTTTCAATTTTAACTGTGCCACGTAGGAATTTCTTCTATTTGCATTTATTGTTTACTATGAAACCAGAAGATGGAAGGCATTTGCAGTTCTTTAAATCTGGAAACCTAAGTTTTTTTTAAAAAAAGACTTACTAACAACAGTACTATTGTAAAGCATCACCTCTGCTTGCTTTCCATTCAAATACCTTATAGGAATGTCCATTTAAGCAGATTAGGATCTCTTTCCCGTGTTGCCAATATGACATGTTTACAGGTTAATTTCAGTTCACTGATCCTATAATTTCAAAACTATCGGATATTAAAAGCTACCAAAAGGAGCTGTAGTATTCTAGTAAGTTTACCTAAATCTTTTAATACTATATTCCTTTATTATACGTGATCCTATTGTATGGAGCGCGTGTACTAATATGACGAAGAATCATATCCATAAAGTAATTCTGTAAAAGGTAGTATTCAAATATATTTCATTTACTATATAACATGTTTAAAAATAAAGTTGTATCTATGAAATTGACCATAACGAACGCGTTGCCATTTGTACTTGACTTAAAACAACACATACGCTCACACACAGAGGAACAGAAAGTGTAGTAGTGTGTGTTTTCCTCCCCTTTAAAGGCTACTTGTAATAAGGTGAGAAAAAACGGATGTTATTTAGACCTTGGTACTTCCCTTTCCCTTTCCATTCAAAGCACTTAATTTAATTAAGGCTGGTATCTGCATAATAGGTCTGTTTATCTGCTTGCTTATATTTGACCTACTCCTCAGCGGCGCTGATTTTCTTTTTCCTGTGATGACAATTTGTTAAGTAGAGAAAGTAGCTGTCTTTGATGATCTACAAAGTGAAACAACAACATATTGTTTTTGTTCACTGATAATAGGTAGGCTGAGATGATACTCAGTTACCCTACACAGGCGCCTTTTTAACGTGTCGAGAAAGCCAAAGCACGTTTATCGTTATTACTATCTACAAGTCCTCATTTAATTGTAATTAAATGTTATTTATCTGCGATATCCTACCACACTACGCTAATCAAGCAATAAATGCACGGACCTAGCCTTGCTTAGGGTTTATTTAACATTAAAGGCCCAATCCAGAATTTCTCGAGAAAACAAAACTTCTTAGAGAGACCCTAAACTGAAAACATACTTCAATCATTATCTGATATGGCAATAACGTAAGCAACTGTGCAGAAAACACATCTGCTCAGCACTGCATGGGATTGCAGAGAAGCAAACTGAAAGTAAACCCAGAAATGCTGTCCTCGCCTTAGGAATCGCTTAGCTGTGAGAAAGCAATTTGACAAATATTTCAGTATTTAGCTTGAGCACATATAAGGGAACGTATGATCACGCTGTGCTGCTGATTTACGTTTATAATCAGTCTCCGAATACTCAATAAACATGGACACCTTTCAATACGAACATTCTCGGTGACTGTAGCTATGCTGCAGAGCAATTATCGTTGTGGAGCACGTTACAAACTATAGCATATTATACCTAAGTACACAATCCTTGATGTCTCTTTTTCAGGGCACGGTTCTATGCATTCTTTCTCACAGCAGCTACGTGGTAGTAACAGTGTGACTTACCTATCACAATGAGCTTCTCCCAAAGGGCCTCTCAATACAAAGTTCAAGAAGCGATCCTAGTATCTTTGCAGTGTCATTAGATCCACACCGAACCGGCGGAAAGCTCCACCAAAAGAGTTTAGCAAAGCTGGGTCCGAGTAGCTTTCAGCATGTTGTGGAGGAGGACGAAGAAGAGAAGGATTAGAAATTACTCAAGAGTTTCTTCTTGTCTTTGGGACTCTTGCTGCGGAAGTGTGTAAAGTCCTGGCTTTCTTGGGTGGTTGTGTAGAGACCTCTCTCCTAACCTCTCTCCCTCGCCTTCTCCTTAAGCCTCTTGCTTTCGACTCTTGCGAAGTTTGATACAAGTCTGAGTCTCCCCCTCCCAGGTCCATCACATTTCAGCAGTAAGTGGCGTGGAGCACTGTCCCCGCCCGCTGTCCCACCCCAAGCCGCACACATTCGAACGTTCGCTGCTTTAGTATTCTGATCCCGCCCAACATAGAACGTTCAGAGGGTTGTAAAGTTCCGAGCCCTCCCTCAGCTCCGCCTCTCTTCTCTTGTCACTGTACTGTTTACTTGTGTTTAGATAGCAACAGGGTTTTAAAGGGGCAGTGCTCTCTTTTGTCATTCCCTCTCCAATTTCTTTTCACGTTACCTAAGGTGACTTTTTCCCTTGAGAAAACTCTACGCTTTCATAAAACAACATCTCCCCGCCCATGCCTCTCTCCCTGACTCCATCAGTTGCAGGGAATTCTGTACTGTCCCGATTCCCCGATAATAGAGTTGCTTGGAGCAGTTTGTGAGAGCTTTTCCATACTGCTATAATTCACGTGAGAGCATTTCATACTGCTAAAAGAATGCTTTACATTCTTAATACGCTCTGTTCAATCTTTGAAGCCCTTACATTTTTTCATCTTAGAGGACACGTATCTTGATGTTTGCAATGACACTCTGTACGCCTGACCTTGTGTATTTTTACCCAGGACAATTTATATAATATAACCTTATTTTCTTTATATACGTCTAACATTTCCCGAATGCATCAAGTTTAGCTGTCCATATTTCCGAAAGGTTTTGTATGTACAGTTGTCTGATGCAAGTAGTTTTCAGTTAGTAAATGTTAACCTACGAAATTTCTATCATTCTAATTCCAAGTAATATTTAAACCTGCATTATGTTCTCAAATGCATCTTCTATATTCTGTAAGTGAATCCAGATTTATAGGTATCTGTAATGTACATGCTGATATATACACCTGAGGTAAACTGGTAGCTTCGATAGACATTTCGATGAATAAAGGTAAAGAAACTTCTAAATGCAGACCAAATGACGAACCACGTACTCTTTGTTTTCAGTTCCTTGATCATTAGAAATATATTGTTTTATGTCATTAACTGCATTTCAGTTGATTTCACTGTGGTCAGGATTATTTTTTAAAAATGTTATCATTTGTTATATATTAATAAAACGTATCGTAGGGGGAGCTGATTTTATCATGAGTCTGGAGAAGTGAAAGGAGAGCTCACATACAGCAGCAAAGTGTAATTAAGAACAAAAATGCATATGATGAAATTACATTTTAAAGCGTGAATAATATTCAAGGTGAGGATTGTGGTGGTTAATTAATTTCCGCAAACGAAAAGAGAAAAGCAATAAAGCGTTCGTGGAAACCACTTTATTTTTATTTTATTTTATTTTAGCTTTTGAAAACAACCTACAATGAAACAAATCAGGAACATAAATGTCAGAAATAAAAGCTTTACAATATTACATATTAATAAGGGTAATGCAAAAAACAGTTTACATTAAAATATTTCTATTCTTTATTATTGATGAATGATTAATGTAATCGTTTTTTGTTTCTTTTAAAAAGTGTTATTTATAAAATGCAATTTAACGCAGTTATATTGGTTAACATGCTATATTATTTCAGGAAGCAGGAAATAATAAGAACAAGGCTTAAAATGAAATATTTTGGAAGTAGGAGCGACAGTGAAATTTGCCATTCTACATTGATAAAACTATCGATTTACGCCATCGGTGAAAGTGTAAGCGCTTTGAAGCTGTCTCACAGTACTTAGGTACTAAATTTGATAATTATATTAGTTTAAAAAGCTGAGGCTATTGGCAAGGTGAAAGTAGCTGGTTTTTTCTGTCTTCTCTATGTTATTCTATAATAATATAGTTTGTTCCAACGGCAAAATAGAAGGCAACAGACCTCTTTATTCGCAGAGAGATTGCAGAATCCAAGTAAGACCTCCCGCCCTATAAACAAACCTGTTTGTGTGTTTCTTTCACAAGATGCACTATTGCAGCCCGTTTTTATTAGGAAAAAATATTCCGATATGAAACGAGGATGTGAAGATGAAAATAAATGGGACTGTAGCGATACACATATTGTCTCATCCAAAATCTCCCAAGTCATATTTGCCACCTTCTTGGTCCACGTGTTATCAAAATAAAAATCAGCTCAACGACATTAATGTATTATATTCTATAGCTAGTCGAAAGATACCTCGCCATGTCTGGACTTGATTGGGAGAGATTTTAAAAAGTACTCTCGGCAATATTGTCATTTTTGACGTGCTCGTGCCATTTGAAAAAGAATCAATAAGCAGGTGTCCTTTCGGTGCTATGACTCAAGAGATCACATGTTTTGGTTTCCCCTGAAATACTGGGAGATCTTTGCTATAGACTTAAACATATGTCTCCGTAAGCCCTCCGCTGCCAGAGCACAGAGCAGCCTTCCACACAGATGTTCCTGAGAATTAATTTGATGCTGAAAGGGTCCCATCAGCAGCGGAACAATCATAATAAAATACTTAATCAGTCGGGTTAAATAGCCCTAGAGATGCTGAGTCAGCAAACCAAGCTGAGCCAGCCAGGGGACTGGAGGGGCTGCGGAGGAGCCTGTCCGGGAACAGCTGCCCTAGCTCTGGAGCAGGGACTGACCAGGAGGGAGCAGGAACTGCAGAGGGACCTGCACAGCACAGAGCTTTACTTCCCATTTCCTCTTCTTTACACGCACACACAGGAGACTCAGGCAGTAGAGCTCGTTTAAGCCTGATACTTCCGCAAAGGGGGTTACCGTTTATCCTCCCTGCCTTTATCATTTCGACACCAGACGGATCCCTGCAGCAGAAAGCGGGCGAGCAGAGCGGTTTCCCAGACCGTGCACTGCAGGCTATCTGTGCCTCTATGTGCACAATAAAGCCCGCTCTGTCTGAGGCCTGCTGCTGCAACTTTATTAGAAGGGCAGGTGTCACTCTCCCAAGCAAATCCCACAGTAACGTTGTCATCTGCTAGGGAATGGCGGGGAGAGATACCCAATCCCCGCAAATCCCAGACATCTCCAGTTAATGTTACCAGCCCCACTCACGGAGCGGGAGAGGGGGCCTGGGGCAGGATCTCCCTTCGCTTTACCTTCCCCCAAAGCCGACTGGCGGCGCGGCGCTAGGCAATGCTCCGGCTCTGTGCACACCCAGCCCGCCAGCGCCAAGTTCACGTGTCTCCCCTGCCCGGGGGAACGTCTAATTATTAACGACCG